GCCCCGCCCCGCCCCGCTCCGCCCCGCCGTGGAGAGCCACTCGGAGGAGTCGCAATGGAATGGCGCCGCGCGGCCCGCGGGCCCCGTCCGGTCGTTGGAAGGTGGCGTCGTCGCGGCTTGGGTCGCGGGGCCCCGCGGTGGTGGGTGACGCTATGGGTGCGAGAGAGACGGGAGAGCCTCTCGGTGGAGTACCAGGTGGAGGTGGAGTGAGGGAGTGACAACGCTTGTCTCGTTCGTCTCGTCTCACTCACTCACCCGTCTCCCTCACTCACCCGTCTCCCTCCTTGTCGTGCACCTTTCACTCGGCACGCCCGCACATATATCGCTGCGTACGAATAATATCGCAGACGCCCCGACGGCGCCCGTCCTGGTTTTCTTTTTTCCAGTGGTTCGGTTTCTGTTGTCTTGCCAAACAGCTTGCCCCCTTACCGTAGCGCGGGTGGTGGCGCGAGCTGGCTGACACACGAGTGCAGTGCGGACGTGTCATGAGAGGTGAAGGCTGCTCAGGAGAGCGACGACGCGACGCGACGCGTCCCGTTTTGTATTCGGCAAATGTTTTCCGAAGCCGGTTTGTTTCCTTTCGCGTCCCGCCTGTTTGTTTGCGCTGCTGCCTGCTGTCGGGGGCGGGGCGGGGCGGAGCTGGCGTTGTGCTGAGCGGAACAGGGGCCGCGAGGTACCTGTCACCGCCCGCGGGGAGAAGCTCCACTTCTTGGTAGTAGTATCTCTAGCGTGCCGCGATTCTTGTTTTGCGTAATAACCGTTGGCTTTGTATGGTATTACGTTTCATAGCCCTGGGTTTAGTAGCGGTGTGGGTGTGTGTGGGACGTCAAGGTATACCCCCTACCTACCTTCCCCCTTGCAGCTCCCAGTAGCTCCTAATTGCCCGTCGCCTTGCGCGACCCTTGGTTGTTTTTGTTTGATTTGTTGTTTTTTGGTTTTCCACCGCCAACTTCTCGAGATGTTTCCGCGGCCGCCCCCGCCTCCCCCACCCGCCTCGCCGCCGGCAAAAAGGCGGCAATGAGCAAATAATGGCGTCGTGGTGTTATTGTTTTGCCGTCTGGTCCCGGCGGGCTTCTGCTGCCTTGCTGCCTGGTCCTTGAGAGCGTCCTGCTGACGGCCGAGAGTATCTCGTCGAGCGATCCTGCGAGGGTCCGCGCAGACAGAGGGGGACCTGCTGCAGGGGGTCCCGGACCTGCCTTTCTCATCCCGTCGACCGGGGTCAGCGCGGTCCTGGCCGGGGGGTCACGGCGCCCTGCCCCGCCCCGCCACGCCCCGCCACTCGGTGCGGTACGGCCCGGGCCGTTTGCGGTCTGGAAAGGGAAAGCTCTCTGGTGTTCTCGCGGGTCCGGTCCGGTCGAGTCCGGCCCGGCGCAGGCCGACGGCAGGCAGTGCCACCTGTCGAGCGTCCGTCACACACTCGCGGCTCACTCGCGGGGCCTTGGGCCGCGGCTCAGCTGCGTGGCAGCCAGCGCCCTGGTCCTTTCTCCCGCTCTCCCGGCACGACGCCGCCCTCCTGCAGGGCCCTTTCCAAGCCATAGCGCCGACGACGGGACCCGGTAATTTTCCCTTCCGAACAGCTGGGAGCAAACGCGCAAGAAGATGGATCACGGGATCCCCGCATCCAAGAGCAGTACACGTCCTGCTCCTCGTCCGGTGCGCTGCTCGCGCCTCAGGCGTCACGGATTAAGCGCGTTAACGCGTACACTGTTAGTCTGGGGTGCCAAGAGAGCGGGTCTTATTAATGTGCAGTTTGGACAGGGAAAACCAGAAGGTGTCCAGTAAGTTGTCGACGTAAGTCACCAGATTCTTGGATCGGGCCGTCGGACACCTCACCTCGGGATCATCATCCAGAAACTACGTGTGCCATTCGCCGTTACGAAACTGCTTCGCCTTCGCTCAGCTGTGAGCTATCTCTTGAAACGCCTGATGGGTAGGCAACATATCGCCTGCAGTGCATGCGTGCACTGCGGGGTGGCCTACCCTGAGTCTCGCAGGCGTCGAGCTCCCGTTATCTTGCCGATTGAGTCTGAGGAAAAGGGAAGTACTTTCTGGACGATCCTACCCTAAAGAAGACCAGCTGCTAGGCGCCTCATTTGCAGTGTAGCTCCAAGCTCCAGCCTAACACATGGAGTGTCAGGCCGGCGGGGTCAAAGACTGTGAAGGCGTTGAGCCGCCGCCGCTGGTAGGTGTCCCGGATGCTGCTCTGCAGTTGAGGAGGCACTCTTCTGTGCCCCCCGGGAAGAGGAGGAAGTGGTCGACGGGGGGAGAGGAGGGTGGAAGGGGGCGTCGCGGTGCCTCTTGCGAAATGCAAACAATGTCAAGTCGGGCGGGAGGTGGGCGAGGCGGTGGTGGAAGGTCGTTGCCTGGCCGGCGGCTGGGGCTGCCGGTCGGAACGGCGTTGCAGCGACGCATTGCGAAGGGACCGCGAAAATGAGGAGTGAACAAAAGAGGGTAAAAAGTCGTCCGCTTTGCGGGAGGCCTTCAAGGACAGTGTGTACCGGCGGTGTTCCCCCGCGCGTCATTTGGTTCGGCGTGGTATGTCGCGGCCGACTTGCCCCGCCGCCCCGCCCCGCCAAGCCCGCCCAGGTCCGCGAGCCGAAAGGGTTAAATAGCGAGGATTCCCCGCGCGGTGCACCTCGTTGGAACGCCACCGCCAGGAACGGAACGCCCCGAGGCACTCGGCGTGTCGGGGCGGGGCGGGCGGGGTGCGCTGCCATTGTGCGCTGGCCAAGGGCGTGCGCGTGGTGCGTGCATGGCCGGCAGAGCGTGCGGGGCGGGGCGGCCAAGTCCAAGTTCAGCCACTCTATATTTACTGCGCTTTAGCACCTCGCCCTGGCCAATTGTGCCTGCGGGCGCGGGGCGGGGACGCTCCCGCCCAGGCGCGGTGTCTCAGACGCGGTGTGTCAGCTGAGCGCTGGCGGGCGTCTTCCTGGTCTTCCTTCTCCTGATGTCCGACCTTTCACGACGCGGCAGGTAGGCGCCGCCCGCCGCCCCTCTGCCTTCTCCCCCCTCTGTCCCCGCGGGGCCGTCGGGTCGGGGGGACCCGCGGCGGCGCCCCGGCGCCGCGCTGTGGATCTCTGGGGGCGTTCCAGGCGCCTTAGTGTCCTGCTGCCTTCCCCCGCCACGCCCCGCCACGCCTCCTCCTCCTGCTGCTGGTGGCTCGGCTCTTTGCTTCCGCATGGAAAGCACCTGTGGCCTGTGGCGACGGCGGGTGGCGCGGCGGGGCGGGGCCCCAGCTGGCATCAGGGCTCTGCGCTGGCTTGCGCACAACCCTGTTCGTTCTGCACTTGCATTATTTAATGAGAATAAAAACCTTTCTCGAGGTTGGCGGAGGCGAGGGGGAGCCCACTTCCCCCGGCCCAGGCCAGGCCCCCTGCACTGTACCTAATTGGCTGCCGCCTTCGCCACGCGGCCGAGGATGAAGGCTGCCGGCGTCCAGCTGTATCGTTTTGTTCTGCTCTTTGCTAACGTTTGCTCTTTGTGTCCGCCAGGGGCAAGTTCGCCGCCGTGCGCAAGTGCACGCACCGCGTGACGAGCGTCGAGTACGCGGCCAAGTTCATCCGCAAGCGCCGCCGCTCCATGGACCAGCGCCAGGAGATCCTGCACGAGGTGGCCGTGCTGCGCCTGGCCGGGCGCGCGGGCTCGGCGCGCATCGTGCGCCTGCACGAGGTGTACGAGACGCCCCAGGAGATCGCCATCGTGCTCGAGCTGTGAGTAGTAGTAGTGGCGGGCCAGGCGGGCCCTGCTGTCGCTCGCTTTCTTTTTTCTCTTTTCTTTTACTGGTTTTTTGTTGTTCCTTAACCCGTTCCGTCTGTTCCCTGCAGAGCTGCGGGCGGCGAGCTGCAGCGCGTGGTGGACCTGCAGGACGGACTGCAAGAGGTGGAGGCTGTGCAGGTGATGCGCCAGGTCCTCGAGGGGCTCATCTTCTTGCACGACCACAACATAGCCCATCTGGACCTCAAAGTATGTCGGCTTTCCTCTTTGCTCTCAACTTGTGCGTAGATTTTTGTAAAATTTGATCTTAACCTTTTAAAATTTTGTTTTATTTTTACAGCCTCAAAACATGCTCCTTACTGGAAACTACCCTGAATGTGACATCAAACTTTGTGACTTTGGCATATCGAGGGTCATTCGCAGTGGTATTGAAGTGAGAGAAATACTGGGAACACCAGATTATGTTGGTGAGTTTCATTTCATATTTCTCCCACAAGCATTATTTCATTTATCACTTTTCCATTTTGTAAAGTGTGCTATTTTCTATTTTACAGCTCCAGAAGTCCTCAGCTATGAACCCATCAGTCTAGCCACTGACATTTGGTCTGTGGGCGTCCTAGCTTATGTGCTTTTGAGCGGTTACTCACCTTTTGCTGGAGATACTAAACAAGAAACATTCTGCAATATTTCCCAGTGCACTTTGAATTTCCCAGAAGAACTCTTTGAGGGTGTTTCTGAAGATGCTAGAGATTTTATTAGAACAACATTGCAAACAGATCCAGGGTATGGAAAACCTTTCATAATTTGTCCATAGCCCCTATAGTGTTTAATGTAGATGCCCCTTAAAATTGTACTTTAATGTTTCCAGATGCCGTTTATCAGCCCGACAGTGCCTAGAACACCCTTGGCTCAGCTTCAAGACACCTTTACTTATCGACTCCCTCAGTTCATCCGTTATAAACAGTTGTATTGAGTCTGGCGTTTTTAGCAAAGAAAACAGTGTGGAGAGGGAGCAGGGGGAAAATCAGGCAGACAACTCCGTGTCGAGCTTGGAGACCAGCAGCAGTAGTTGCAGTGTCAGTCCGAGCCCCAGCCCGTCGCCCATTAGCAGCTTATCACTTGCAAGGTGAGTCCTTTCCTTGGTCGGTCTACTCGACTTAGTAATGGAGAAAAAAAAGATAACCATTTTAAATTTCCACTGAAATGCGTAGTTTTTACAAAATTTTGAAACTTATTGTCGCGCTGAAAAAAGAAAACAGTAATAATAAAAACTAATGTTATATCTATTTTTATTATTGGGGTGGAGGAGGTGGGAGTAAATCTTGTTCCGAGACCTTGAGCACAACTGTGGCCGACGCTGACCTTTTTTTGTCCTTTCTTGTCCTTCCCCGCAGCTCCACCTACAGTCGGTCGCAGTCGACGCCGGGTACCAACGGTGTGGTGTGCGGGCGACGGTCCTCACATCCGCTCATCAACGCCGGGGTGACGGTAGGCGTCGCAGACTCCGTGGCCGTGTCCGTGTCGTCGCCCGTGTCCAGTAGACATCAGCTGGCCACCATGCTCACGAGCTCCCCTGTCGAGATTACAGTGGACCGGGGGATCATTTGCTAGCATTTGGCCACGCTGGGGTTCTGCTTGTTCTCCCGGCTCTTCGGATCAAACAACAACTCCTCTAATCGGCAGCCCAAGCGGGTGCAGCAATAAGGAATGCGTGTTTGTGTGTGTGTGTGTGTCGTATCTGCGTGTGCAATTGCAACTTATTGCTGTTCATGTGTGTTGAACATGCGTGAATAGGCCAGATGTTTACCTGATTAATGTACATTTTTGTTTCCTCCCTTATTGTTTTGATTGTGTATGTGTGTATGTGTTTTTGAGAATGACTGTGGGTTGTGAATGTGTTTTAATGTGTTCGTGGCTTTCAAAGCCAATAAAATTGTAAGACATAGTGTGATACTCAAATCGTAAAGGCCATGAGGAACTTTAGGTTTGTAATTGTAATTTTATGCCTCACCAATTCTACTGTAAGATTTGAAAAAAGTGATCCAAATGTGGCTAGCAGAATCACATCCACTCTTTCATGTTATGTGAAAAAGATACTTAGTTGTGATTTGATAACTTCATTTATAATCAATATTGTGTAAATGGGAGTTTTATGGTTGTTGTAAGGTAATTTTAAAATATTTATTGGAATCAGTTAAAATTTTCTCATCAAGTGATAACACTTCTGTTTGTAGTTGAGCATATTCTGCATGTTATGTGATACTTTTTTTTATGGTTGCCTCAAAAATTTCATCTGTGTTTTTATTGTTTTTTGTGAGTGTTGAGGCCTTGTTAGTGAGAGACAGTTGGCCATAGGGAAAATTTCCTTTTCCAGCAAGGGACCATATTCTTTTTCTCATTCAAAGACTTTGATAAATATTTCATTTGACTTACAATTGTCTGATTGATCTGACTTTCAAAAATATTGGACTACATGCTGCTTTATTGCTCTCGCTCGATGTTAAGGTTATTGATCACTGCCATGAGGAAAATCTAAGACCATTGTCCAAGCTGAGTTTTTTTTCTTGAACCAAGGATTTCAAGTGCCTTGACACGTCTTTGACCAAAGTCTGTTCAATATTGTCAATTCTTATTAGCAGTGGTGCCAAAAACTAATGCTTTCTGACTTTCTCCAAAGGAACCAAAATTTATGTTGACATTGTGAGACATTGTATCACCCAAAACTTATGTGCTCAACTCTGACCTCAGTTTTATTTTGGACGTACAAAATATGTGATTGTGGGACTTGACAAGTAGGGTGTATATAAATTTATTTGTGATATAGGGTTGGCTTTGTCGAGTATGTTGGTTTAGTGTTATTATTTTCTTTTTTTTCAATTTCTGTTTGTTAGTTCAGACTTTTTGCTCACTGTTACAGGCCTTTGAAAATTCATAAATTTGGTATTACGTTAAATAAGTAACTCTGATATCCATATATTTTCAATGACAAGTTATCGAATTTTTGAAGACTATCTCAAACCTTGTCGAATTTCATTCTTTTCTTCTGAAGCAACCAACAGAGGTAGTATATAATTTCATTACAATGTTGTGTTTCTTTGGTCTCCTTTTTTCAAAATTCAGTCATTCCGTTTAATTTTCATTCAAAA